TATTCAAAGAAAAACAACGCCAGAAGATCTACAATGAGGGATTCATTCTTGATTATTCTCAGCAAGTGTCTTTTCCATCCTCGTATAAAATTGTAGTTAAGTAACTTCATATAGACGTAAATTGAATAAATAATTCACTTGGACAAAGCTGAGGCCATGCATAGTATCTGATGTTAATATTTCATTGATTAATAATCAACTTTCTAAAAATCTATTTCTTAGAAATCTTAAGACCTAATAGAAAAAATAATAAGGAGAATTCTCTGTCAATTGAATATTTAATAAATTAAGACTCACAGTTTTAGGCTAAATTTATTATTCACAAATCCTTAGAGGCTTGACGGAAATAAATTAAGAAATATCTCAGTTCAATATTTATTCATGGAATTCCCCTGGGTACCAATTGCGCCCCGTTATTAGCAGACCTTTTTGTATTTATATGAAGCAGAATTTGTTCAAAATCTCCATGAAAAGAAGAAAACACTTGCTTTGGTCTTCAACTCGACAGTTAGGTATATCGACGTATTGTCAATTAACAATGGTTATTTCCATTCTTATGTCGATACGTTCTATTCCAGTGAGCTTGAAATAAAGAATACCAAAGAATCTGACTCATATGTTTCATATTTAGATACATGTATTTTACTAGAAAAGGACATTAATGGTAACCTGACAACCAAGCTTTATGATAAACTTGATGACTTAAACGTTTCAATCGTCAACTTCCCTTACTTATGCAGCAATATATCTTCATCACCTGCAGACGGGGTTTATATCTCTCAGTTGATTCGATACGCAAGAGCATGCTCTACGTATAAACAATTTCTAAATATAATTTATAAAATGAGCCTTACAAACAAAGACAATGTGGTTACCTGCTTTGTCAGCAGGGACCAGTACGTACTGATCGTGTAATCTATCTAATTCTCTTTTTTCACTTCTGAATTATTGAATACAGAAGGATGGATGGTTTTCATACTGCCCCTCAATCGTTTAATGCGTGATTTTAACATATATCTGATACATTTAATTCATTTTGACAAGTATTTAAAATGACTTTATGTTTGACTTCTTATTTCTGCAATTCAAATATGATTATACTATGCACAGAATTAATGATGTTCATATTGCAATATAAATGCTAGTCTTGGGTCACCTTCACGTTTAGTGAAGCAAGGGAATCCATATTTTTTCATTATAAAGTATGAATTATGAATTCAACACAAATTAGTCAATGTTTTTGCCATGGCTTTTAATTTGTTGAAAAGACATCAAATCAAAGATAGAGCTAATCCTATATATAGAATATAACCTTTTATTGTTTCTTAGTTACAAGTTAATGTCGAAAACGACTGCATTGATGGACAGATTAATGGTCAGACGGACAAGTTGATTACTTGTTATGACTCATCTCCCACCCCCTTCAAAAAATAGTTTTCGTTAAAATTAATAATTTTCATTTTACTATGAGATGTATATTTTAACAAAAAATCGGAACGAAGGGATTAGAGACTGTATCAAAATTAACGATTGTTTTTATGACAATCAAAGTTTGGTTAAATAACAACAGAATCTAGATTTTCAGATCTGAATGTATACGTTTTTTAAAAGATGGCAACGGAATGTCTGATTAATTTAATATATATTTCCTTAGCAATACATTCACATTAACATATCCCACAGTATAAATAATATAGACATTACGGAAGAAATCATAGATGCTACTACAATTATACATTTGAAAGTATACGTTTTTTAAAGATGATGTCCATGGCAACGGAATGGTTTATCAATTTAAAATATTTTTTCTTTATAATACAGTCACCTTAGCATATCCCGAAGTATTAATATGGACATTTACTGAAGATATTATAGATATTACCAAAATTAAAGATTTGTTAAATGTCAATTATAGCAAGATTTTCAGGTATGAAGAAATACGTTTTCGAAGACGGTTTCCATGGCATAGGAATGTCTGATTAATTTAAAATATATTTTCTAGGTAATACAGTCACTTTGACATATCCCAAAGTGAATATAGACATTTACTGAAGACATTATAGTTGGTATCAAAATTAAAGATTGATTAAATGAAAATAGATGCCAGATTTTCAGGTCTGAAGGTACGTGTCTTTGGCGACGATTTCCTTAACAACCGGATGCCTGAACAAATTAAAATATATTTTTTAGTAATACACTTGCCATATCACTCCCCATAGTAAATACAAACATTTTCTGAATGGGGGCCTAAAATTGCCCAAACCATTTATAGTTCTTTGTCTACAGAATGTTCTGTCTTCCAGATCAATAGATGGGGCTCATAGCAGGTATGAGCGTAAACGGGAGAAGCTTACTCCTCCTTGACACCCTATTCTACCCGTGTAATATCCGGGGTATTGTGTTTTATGTGCATGTTCACAGATTCACATTGTTTGTAGATTTTTTTTAAATCGATCACTGTTCGTTATCTTCACCTTTTTCACAAAATTACTTTGACAAACAATCATTTGTGATAATTGATATTTTTAAACGTTATATATAATTTAAATCAGTGTCATCTTTCTTCGTACTCGAACGTACTTGATTATTTATAAATAAATTAAAAAAAAACCATATAAAATCTTATTTGGAAGGTTATCTACGTGACCCAAGGGTTGTGACGAGGTGTGCTGCTTTGTTATCAAAAGGAGAGAGAGCAAGAGAGACAGTTAAACATGTTTGATTGTTGTGTGTTGATCCTTCTTGTAATAATTCCTAAGGGAATTAATTTTTTATCAAACTCCACTATTTGTTTCAAAACATTTTCATTACGTGTCCTTGATATTCACCAGTTACTGGTGAGAGTGATATAAAGGGGATTCTTATAATGATTAAGCCTCATTCCGTATGTTACAGAATGTTTATGACTTGTCTTTGGCATCCAAGCAAGTCTTAGATATGAGATTGCGATATGATAAAGCATCAACAAGTGCGTTACATAATGTTTATATGTCTTTGGCACCACAGGTAGTAATGGCATTTATTTGAAGGAAAGATTGTATGATGATAAAGACCCACTAAGAGTGTTATGATGTTTTTGAGGTGTAGCTGAAGTATACAGTTACTATTGGTATTTGGACAGTAATGGCAGTGATCTAAAGGAATCCATTATGATGATAAAGCATCGCTATGTGTGTTACGGAATATATATGATGAATTATAATTACTAATGACAAGGAGAAAAGAAGACATTTGTGATGCAGTAAAGCAGTACAATACCAGTACAATTCCACCTGACCTTATACCTTTGATGTTTTCAGGTCAGTATTTGCTCTGTCCCGATTTTTAATGGACTTTTGAGCTACTGGAAATCTTCAACATTCAATATCTTATAACACACATAAAACCAAGTAATTGTGCGATATAATACACAGTAAGAACTATATGCATTTTCAATACTCGCGGAACACCAAGATGAATACTGTTTTTGCTCAATTTAATTAAAAAACAATAACACTTTTAAATTACTAAAAATTTACTTAAAATTATAAATAAAAAAGATTACTGACTATTAAATAGAAAATGTTAGCCATATATATTTTGTTTTTTTTTTTGTTTTTTTCATTCATGTTCGTTTTGTAAAAAGTCGGGTTTAATAGCAATATGAAGAAACTGTTTTCCCTTATGCATGCGTATTAAAAATCCATGCCAAACGATAAAATCGCAATTGCCAGAGCGCAAACAAGATCTCACATGTTTTAGACAATGTTTTAAGGTAAAGTTAGTCTGCAAAATCCAGAAGATGAATTACTTCCTTTAAGACTTGCTCGAAGAAGTCTTATAGGTGCTTAAAGGTCGTCTTTAAGTTACCATTGAGCACCCTTAAACTATCTTGAATTAATATTTACACCATCATTAACGTACCATGAAGCCATTTCAAACTACCTAATGCATGATTAAAGGTAGCTTAATGATGGCTTAAATATAGTTTTTAGGCGCTTAAAGGCTGCCTCTAGACAGTCTTTAAGCAGCCATTAAGCCAATATTAAGCCAGATTTATAGATGCTTAATGTATTTAAAACATCTATAAATCACTATTAAGCAACCAAAATGCAATCTATGTTCTGTTTTAATAGATGAAATACTATTCATATAAAAACTTCTACATCAGAAGAAAAAAAAGAACTTGCCGTGGCCTTCAATCTGACATTCAGTCATATCGACGACGTTGTTTTATCAATTAAAATTAGTTTTCCCATTCCTATGCCTGGTTTAAGGTCAACATTTCTTAAATTCTATTGTTTTTATAATGACCTTGTTAGCAAATTTGACCTATCATTAGGTCGTATTTTGGCTAACCTGTTTCATACCAATTGTGAATCTTTTTTCTTAAAAGTAAATTTGACTACGGAATGTTCCGTCTAGTTGGTCAATACATAGGGCTCATGGCGGGTGTGACCGGTCAACAGGGGATGATTATCTTTCCTAGACACATGATCCTACCTCTATTATTTCCGGGGATCCGTTCATGCCAAGTTCACAAAATTGGTTTATATGTATTTGTAGATTTTTTTTGATCGATCAGTGTTCGTTATCTTCATTTTTTCATTTAGTCTCGCCAAGAATAAATGCCGGATTAAAACATTTGTTAACTCGGTTTCTCTATGGTTTTTTTTTTTTTTTTTAAAAATCTGTAATATTCAAGTGTAAAATAAATGCCAGGTATATAAACTTTAAACGTGGGTCATTCCGGATATTCACTGTAAATATCAAAGGGGTTCAAATCCTATATAATGTTGCCATCTTATATACCATTTCCAAATTTCAGAATAGAAAGACAAGGCAAGGACAGTAAGACAGAACTTCCGTTATAATATGCCTATCCTTAAGCACATGAAATAACAAGATTTGTCATACATTATTGTGATAAAACTGAGTTGCTTTTGGGAAATCCGCCAATAATTTGGTTATATATACCGTATTTTATCTCCGAGCGGAAACACTGCGTTCTTTCGTATTGTCATATTACATCTAAATTCAAATAATGAAGTCTGTATTTCTGTTTACGATTTTCATTACAATTTGTAAAGCTATGGTGTCTTCCTTGTTAACCGGTACTAACAATCCGAACTCTACAGCTTTAATAAACGACAGACGTGAAATCAAGGAGATCGATGTTCTTCGACAGATCATCAACCAGGAAACTCTCATCCGTTTAGCCAGGGTCAGGGATGTAAAGGCATTAGTTGAAGACGTTACTTCTGTGAAGCGTAGTATAGGGTCTACAAAAGCAATAATCTCCTCTTTACAACAGGCTATAGAAACGTTAAAAAGACAGCTTGGTACGCTTAGTCAGGAGCAGAAAAGAGAAATTCAGAAAATTGAGCAAAATATTGCCGATATCTACGAACTTTTTAATAACAGGACACTGCAAACTGTCGAAAAAGGTAAACCTCTCTCTCTCTCTCTCTCTCTCTCTCTCTCTCTCTCTCTCTCTCTCATTGAGTGTGTGTGTGTGTGTAAGTGTGTGTGTGTTTGTGTGGTAAGGTTGTCTTAATGTTGGCTAAATGGTCGTCTTTAAGTCACCATTAAGCATCTTTAAGCTTTCTTTAAGTAATAAATGACCATCATTAAGTTGCCATTAAGCCATTACAGGTCCTTAATGGTCGCTTAATGGTAGGTTAATGCTGGCTTAAAGATAGCTTATAGGTGCTAAATGCTTCTAAACGATCTTTAAGTCACCATTACCCAACCATGAAGCCAAACTTATTGGTGATTAATGTCCATTAAGCTACCATTAAACCACCCTAAATCACAACAAGTCACCATTATGCAGTCGATGAAAATGCTTTGACGGGTAAAATATCATTTTTATATTATTTTTTCTTGCAAATCATAAATGTCGAATTTATACAATTGTTAATATGATTATTTAAAAGAGAGTTTAACAAATTGAACACACCCGGTAAAACGTAAACTGTTTTTGTAAACTGGGCATGAGCTCTGTTTTTGATAATGTTTACGTTTCACCGGGTTTGTTCAATTTGTTAAACTCTGAACACATCACTCAGTACGTACTGACAATACTGGTCGAGCTAGTTTTCCTTTGTCATATTTCTACTCTGAATTTTCTGGGTAATAGTTTTAATATTTTTCATTAATATACAACAAAATTTCCACATATTTTAAGAAATAAGGGTAAAGTTTACTTTGTGAAAGTGCAAGATTGTGTCAATCAAACGCGTCCCTAAATTCAATAATTTCAATAATTTCCAAATAATTATTTGTAATAGATATTGTAAAGGGTTTTAAATATATGCAAAAATCCTATTTGTTTAAAAAAAGTTAAGCCTTGAAAGCTGAACGGAGTACAGATTGATGCATTTGTAAGATCTATAAAGAAAGACAATTCCCGCCGTCCATTTGAGAGGATTTTTAAAAATAATTTTAATCATGCAAATTTATCACTGACTTATCAAACTAAGAAAAATCAACTTGTCATAGCGTATGACTTTTTTATATAAACCCTTATTTTGTGACGCGCATCAGGTCACAGAAGTAACCAGTGTTTGCGATGGAGGAAAAATATGTCAAAATCTATCAAAACATCTTTGCCTGTAGTTAAATTGTAGGCAATATTGACATGCCTCTCGATCTTCTGATCTTTCACAAAGGAATAGATTAACCAAGAAATTTAAAACATATAAACGAAAAAAAAAAAATTAAAAAGTGATCATATGGGTCTACTGGTCCCTTTTTTTTTCTTCAGAAAAGTAAAACGGTTTGATTGAAAAATATCTTAAATTGGATTTATTAGGTGGCAAGCCGACGCCACAAACAATTTGAATATCGATAAATGAGCATTTGCACTAAAAGGTTTTATTGATACCTGCATATACATTCTAAAAGTCTAGACACCATGACGTTCTTTAATTGGTTTTAAATGGATCAACTTCATTCATTAATTTCTTCTTGTTTCATTGCAGGAATGTGTCATAAAATTCTTCTTTTTAAATTATCATTCAAGAAATTCCTTAAAATGATCAAGTTTTATGAAAAATTAGTATGTGCGAATAATCAAGGATTGTCCAAAATTTAGGATACCTCTGAAAAGGATCTCATTCAGTATCTTTATGAAAAAATATAATAAATTACATTTGACTGTCGTTTTTCACACCAATTGTTAGGCCATTATTTACACACTGAATTGTCGACGGATTTTTCCGTTATTTCCCGATCATGACAAGGAGCACACGGCGGGTGTAACCGGTCGGCAGGGGATGCTCACTCCTCCATGGCACCTGATCCCACCTCTGATGTTTGGAGGTCCGTGTTTGCTCTGCTCCTGTTTTGTATTGATTGATCGACTTTTGAGCTTGAATACTGTTCGTTATCTCCATATATTTCATTTGTGTATTCTGTTTATTCATACAGAATGATGTTACCTTTTGATAACAAATCCATGCTTTAAGGAACTTGTTTGAAGTATTAATCATCTTTGCTGTGTTCCAAGAAATTCATGACTAAACATTTAAGGGATGCGGTAAAACTGCTGTCTTACATAGAACTATTTAAAAACGTCCTGTTCAGCGGATATTTAAACTTGAGGATATAAACAAGAAATGTTTTCGTCAGGACAACGAGAAAGTTAAGTCATGGCAACAGTGAGGACAATTTTCTTCATGTCTAGTTTATTTTATACAAGTTCTAATTATATTGATTTGAATGAAATAGCTGCGTGCAAGAGTAATGAAAAGATAGAACAATTTCAAACATTTCTGACCGAGCATAGAAGGCTCCAGCGAGAAGTAGATCAACTGCGACAGGATAACATGGAAATCAGAGATTTGCTGACCAACCTTAACTTAACTAGTATGTATTATAACAACATTTCATTTCAATCTGGAGGTTTAAGTACAACTAAAATGCCTTTTTTCAATACCTGGTGCACTTAATGTAACACTTTGGATAATTTTTAAAAAGAAATCAATTTGAAATTGAAAGAAAAGTGAAAGCAATTAAATAAGGTCTTAAAGGGTTTTCAGAATATAACTATAGCAAGCAAAGTTGATGATGCCATTACTTGATCCACCTCTAACTGCATGTAAACTGCGTCGACTTGTGCGACATAAATTCGCAAGTGTACCTAATTAAGTATCTTTCTATAGCTCTCTATGTCGGATTTATCTAACAGCAAAATCTAATAATAATATTTCCTGTTTCAATGAGGTCCGGTCTCCTTTTTGTAGTCACAACGGTGCTGCAATATGCATCAGGGAAAATATAAACATATTTTAAAAACTATCTTTTTGTAATAATTACTGATGCAAAGTCTTTAATAAGTCTCTGGCGTGGAAATGTAGTTATAGCGAAGGTCTCTCGTCATTTCACATAGCGTTAAAGGATCGATACATAAGTCTTGGATTCGAGTTTCATAGACCGGTTCTTCGATTGAGACAACATATACCACACTGTTTATTGGCAAAAAATACCCAGATACAACTTAAATTGCAATGGAAATCAGTGAAATATTCTTGACCTGACGTAAACAAAGTATACATATTTCACGACCACCAATCTAATAGTATTTAAGAAATCTTTATAACGATGTAATTTCTTTAACTTTTAAACCATTCATTCAAAGCCCTTCTTATTTTCCGATTATGGCCTCTGTGACATGCTTAGAATCTTAATATCTCTTAACAAACAGACCAGTATGTATCTTAAAAACTATTAAGATGTGTTCATGTTCTATTTTTTAAATATTTCTGAATATAGTTAGTCATTTGGGCTTTTACATGTATGTAGAACAATGTACTTTTCCATATAATGATATCGTCAATCTTACCGAACATCTATTCAACAAGATTGCATCTGGTAATCATTTTTTTTTTAATTGCTGCTTTATTTCAAACAGGGTTAAAACTAAATGCAGATTGTAAAGACCTCAAGGTTAACGGACAAACACAATCTGGTGTATATATCAGATATATCCCTTTGGAAACGAAAGCCATGTAGACGTTTACTGTGATATGGTGACTAATGGCGGAGGATGGACAGTAAGATCAAGATCTCTCTCTCTCTCTCTCTTAATCTCTCTCACTAACAGTTTATGGAATTTACTAGTATATAATTTTCCTCTGAAAAAAATACCGTTATCGGCGAAAAAACATCTAATAGATTTAAGTATAAATAGTGATTTTAAAAAAATAGTACAGTGCCTTAAATGACTGAAATGATGCAAATAGATAATGTATTGAAAAATAAGGTTAACAGTACAATTATAGCTAAGAATGACAAGAATTTTAATAAATACTTTGTAAACTCTAGGCAATCCAGAAGCGGATCAGTGGATCAGTGACCTTTAGCAAGACATGGAAGGAGTTCAAAAAGGGTTTTGGAAATCCACATTCCTCTTATTGGATTGGTAAATTCTTATTTTTGTCCGCTTTAGACTTATTTACCAACTTGAGTGGTAAATGCTCATCTGAAAATATCTTAAGGAATGCTAATTTGTTCAATTATGGCACATTTTCAATTCATATCTTGTTATCTGAGTGTAACTTAACTTTGTTGAAATTAATGTTATATGATATCGTATTGAACTACAGTAAAACTTCTCTCAACCGGCCAGCTGATTGTCGGTCGTCAGCACATGATTAATTATCGGCAGGTACCTAATGTATACCGAGGGTGTAAAAATTCATGATCATTGTTCAGTTAGTAAGGATAATTTCGACATACCTGTTGATTTTTAAAAGATTAATTTTAAAATAAGAACAGAAAAAAACTATGGAGAGGTACTTTATTTATCATTTGCAAAATATCTCCATACCTAAACTATCTACATGCATATGGATATCGCTTACGTCATTTATAAATTTGTTTGTACTTAGTGAAAAGTAAATAATTACAACATTTCTCAGCAAAATTTCTGTTCTTTTAATCATGAAATGAATATTTTGATAAACATTATTTTTTTTTTTCTCAACTTTTGTCTTTGTTCAGTGTCCAATTCTAAGGGCGCTTATGTCTATTTAAAAGTATGATGCAACATGGAGCGCGATATTTTGTTTATTCATTATGTGTTTGATATTTTATTAATTCAATAGTTGTTTGATATTTTAATGATTCATGAAGCTTAATCATGTGTACAAAACTTAGATCGTTCACTTACGTAGTCTGGCAAGGTGACTACCCCTTCACAACACGGGTACAAAACAACAGAGAACCCCAAGAGGCCGTTTGTAGTTTTTCACACCTCTGACTTCTGGTTGGTATTTTTCACACCTTTGGCCGGTCAATACTTACACTCTGGCCAACGACAACTATAATTCTTGCAATCAAAAAGTGGCCGGTATCATGAGGAAAAATTAGCTATGTTTCTTACACTTAGTTCTTGGAAAAGTGGCCGGTGTCCGGTTTTCAGGGATGACCGGTCTTATGGGAATAAATGTTTAAAGAAATGTTAAGAATTTTGTCGGGAATTATAAATTCGGCCGATATTTAGGGAGAACCGGTTTTCAGGGGGGGCGGGTTTGGAAAAGTTTCACTGCATTAGCATTCAATAACCTAACATTTGCAACTCAAACATTTTTTTTTAAACTTACATGCCTTTCTGAACCAATTGAGTGCACATTTTGAAAATAAATATATTTCTAGTAAACAAAGGAGCATATAATAGACATGATTATTTTTGCAATTCTACTTACGTTTTTACATTATTTATTGATTTACATTGAAATACTTAAACGCTATTCTTTCTGACCAAATAACAGCCTTTTATCATTTAGAGCATGTAAAGAAGTAAATTTTTAAATTAAGACATATTTTCCAATTTATATATAAATGTGTGTGTGTGTGTGTGTGTGTGTGTGTGTGTGTGTGTGTGTGTGTGTGTGGATGTGTGTGTGTGTGTGGGTGGGTGGGTGGATGTGTAATATTCCAGTCTGATAGGCTAAAATACAATACATGTACAACTATTCTGAATTAAACATATTATTATATTATTAATAATGAATTCGTACAAAATGATATTGAAGGAAATGACGTCATTCACCATCTTACCAAGGAAAGGAACTCATCTCTGTATGTCTCTATTACTTTACAAAATGGCACAACGTTCTACGAATTATATCATCAGTTTTCTGTTTCCGATGAGGCAAACAAATACAAACTCTTCCTTGGAGGCCCAGCTATCGGAACATTGGGTAAGTAAATAGAATGTCTGACTATCAATCTACAGAGAGAGAGAGAGAGAGAGAGAGAGAGAGAGAGAGAGAGAGAGAGAGAATTAGTAAAAAGGAGAGAAGCCAATTTTTTGATAGAGCATTGACTACCTTGATATTATGTTACCTCTGTATTTCCCTCCGAGTCATAGTAATGTAAGAAACTTCTGATAAGGTCAAAGTGTTTTCAAGGTAAATTACTTTTTTCATCATTTTTGCACGACTTTGTATTTTTCTGGAAAGCTAAAAATAGATTATCATCACTGGAATTCCATTAAGCTTACCAAGTATTTTTTTTTCAAAAATCAATAATACGAGTAATAATACTTAGTTAGAATATATAAGCGGCCAGGTATAAGTATTACTGATCAACAAAAGGGTTTCCGCCTAGCCACCCAGATAGCCAGCTAACATTGGGCCAACGTTGGGCCAACGTCATCGGTTACATTGGGCCAATGTTGGCAAATGACATTGGCCCAATGTAAGTTTGCTCATCGGCCCAATATTGGCCCGATATGTTGGGCCAACGTTGGCCCAATGTAAAGTGTGATTCTACAGATATTGGTCCAACATTGAGCCAACATTGGCCCAATGAATGCGACATTGGGTCAATGTTGGGCCAACGTCATTGATTACATTGGGCCAACGTTGGGAAATGATATTGGCCCAATGTCAGTTTGCTCATCGGTCCAATGTTGGCCCGATGTATTGGACCAACATTGGCCTAATGTGTAAGTCATATTAAATTGTTACAAATCTGCAAATGAACTAATCCGATCGTCTCTACAATCAGAAAAAAAATCTACCTCCAATCCTATGCTTGAAAATACAAGTTAGCTAAAATAAATAAAAAATAATAACAGGCTTGTTTAACTTCTTATATTTAATCAGAACAAAATAAATTATTAGTGATGGAATTAATTGTTTCTACACAAGGGAATTAAGCAAATGAAAGTATAAAATAACAAATTTATTTTGAAAATAATTAAAACAATAAATAATTTTGCCCTTTTTAAAGATTAAAATATGTATCTAGAATCAATTTCCAAACTTTTCCACTTATTGTTAATATACACTTTTTTCGCAAATTCACTTGTTAACAGGTTAATAACCAATCACTGTCCTCTGTTTCATTTTTGAACGCATTTCCTTCTTTCTTTCCCTGTCTGTACTCATTCTTCCTTCATGATCACATGCAGTGGAATTGCTAATTTCCATAGAAATTTATCTGACACACAAGCAGTTAGTTCGAACAGCTCCTTTTAAATAGATAAATGTTAAATCCATTTAGCAAATCTCAAAATAAAGAGAAATGCTGAAAACTAAAAGTAAAGTCGTACTTTATACAAGTTCATAGTAATTCATTCCTTGCATTAGAAACTATTAATACAATGGATATTTTAATTATTTTGTATTCTTTTTTAAATTAGTAATCTTATTATATTTTTCTACATTTAGTAGCAATGTACGACTATAGTATTTTTCTGGGGGAAATTTTATTACTTACTTTTTTAAATCCCCATCATCTTTGAAAAAGCTGGTTTTCCTCATTTGCCCATCCAATGGAATTCCTTGCAATTTTGTTAGAGAACTTTGGCAGCAAATACTCTCCTCTTTAGTCGCAAAGTTATTTCCACCAATTAAATAGAATGAGAATTAAAATCTATAAAGAAGAGATTTGCTTTCCATTAATGCACCAAGTAATAACTTCTTGATTTCTTTTTTTAACATTTGATAGAAAATATATGACAGAATTTTATAGATGTCTAAATGATTATGAAACTGACCCAGCCAAACTTTCAAAGATATGTATTCAAAAATAAATAAAATTTATGAATCCAAATGCAGTTGGAATGTGGAGGTGATTATATATTTTCCTTTGTTACAGTCCCGGTTGATGCACTTATTTTACCATTTTTTCAAAAATGAAGCTCAAGAGCTGTTAACCGTGAACAAATTAGATTTTAATGGTAACAATGATACGTTTTATTTTATGATTTATACATCATGCAGAAAAGGCACAGTAATTAGCAACTGAACTAGTTACATAAAACTTAAGCAAGCTTAGAAAAAAAAAAGATAAAAGATTGCATTTAGCATGTTTAGATAAACAAACTTTGCATTTTGTGCATTAAAATCTGAAATAATTTGAGGTAAATGGTACTTACATTTTTGTATATGAAATGTCTTGACACAGCTTTAAAAATCCACACAAAGAACACACATTTCAAATTTAAAGCTTTCTTTTTTACATAACACCTTCAACGTTCTTCTGTGGGAAACCTCAGTGATTATAATGTTGGACGTGCTAAAAAGATGCAGATTTGACCATCCCGTCCTATCAGATATCACGATTACAATAGAAACTGGCCAGTCTCACGCTGTGAAAACCCCTGTCCTAATTGCTTGGTCAGAAAATGTGCTCTTATCTTGGAATATGCTCCCTAAATCCAACACTTTAGAAAAATTATGTAATGGGAGTCTTTATATAGTGTGTTCGTCTTATATTTTCATTTTATTTTTTTGACATGCAATTAAGTTAATTTAGATTTATGCATAATTAAATAAATGTTTATGTGATTCTCAAAAACATTTAATTTATTACTACGTTTAAAGATTTAAGCATATTTTACGTTAAGGACAGACGATACGTTCCTCAATAATATATATTTTTTTTCTAAGATTTTGTCATTGAAGTATTACTACTTTCATATGTTTACTCGCAAAAAATTGAGGTACCTTACCAGGCATTTGTGCAAGATACCGGAGGATGTTGTTTCCTATAAAATCCTTTTGGAAAAAACTTAATTTGCCAATATCACGCTTTTTAGTGTTTCAATTTTCAAAGACGATTAGAAATCAGTTTAGAAATCAGAAAGTATTTAAGATTTTGAGTATTTTCCATACAATACGAAGATATACAAAACAGATATTTGAGGAACGTATCGTCTGACCTTAAATAGCTTGATACATCACCATGCATGTTTATTAAGAACACACGGTATGTGTAACATTAAATACATATAATTAACTATTTTTTATCTTTTACTTTCACTCTCTCTGTCTTTGTCCGATTATATAAAGAACACTTCACCCTGTTCCCTGAATTCTGACTTCACCCCAACGTTGGCTCAACGTTGTCTACCCAACAAAATGTATCAAAATAGGGACGTAATTCACAATGTTAGCCCAATGTGTACTCCCAACAAACTCCGTCAACTTAGTGGTGACAAGCTAACAACAGTGGCCCAACATTGGGCCAACGTTGGATCCCCAACCAACCTCGGCTTCTGAGTAAAATAGTGTTATGTTGACATTGGCCCAACGTTGGGCCAACCTTGTAGTCTCCCAACAAACTCCGTCAACTTAGGGGTGACAAGCTAACAACAATGGCCCAACGTTGGCCCAACGTTGGATCCCCAACCAACCTCGGCTTTTGAGTAAAATAGTGTTATGTTGACATTGGCCCAACGTTGGGCCAACGTTGTACACCCAACGCCAACCATCGGCCAACGATCCAACCATTAGCCAACGTTGGGCCAACGTAGTCATGCTATCTGGGCAAATTATGCCCTTTAGTATATTGACGTCAATACCTCAATTATATCAACCATAGTTAAAGCAATAACGTCAACAAAAGCTACACTTCGTGCAATTCACGTGACAATCTTGACATAATGTGTATACGAGGAGTACTTGTTGATTTCTACAAGGAATTCACGTTTCCTGATTTGTTTAAATTGGTATATTTATAACTACATTTTATTAGCACTTTCATAACTACCACGATAGACAGACTTGTTTCATGAATAACTTTCAGTTATTGATATTGAATTAAAACAAATTAAGTATTACACAGAATCACGAACATATATCATTGTAAATATAAGCCATACTTGAATTCAGCTCGATTCTGAAAGCCTTGAAAATTTCAGATTGGATATTTGGCCACAAATCTATGAATTGAATCGAATCCTTCATTTAATTCAATTATCAACAGTAATCATGAATTTGCGCATCATTCTCTCTGCTGAATCTCATAAAATGAAAAAGCCTACTTTTTTCAGTACATATACAATATGTCCTTTTATACTACAGGTGACAGTATGTTAAACACGTGGAGTTCAACCGATAATTTGTTTGGTATGTACTTCTCCACCACAGACCAAGACAATGACAGAGCTAGTGAAAACTGTGCTGCTAACAAAAAAGGAGGCTGGTGGTTCAATAACTGTCACGACGCCTTCCTTAACGGTCCCTGGTCTCCGCAATTCTGGTATGAGCCTTGGACTCCAACAGTTCGTAATGGTTATGAAATAAAGGAGACTCTAATGATGATAAAACCTCACTGATCGTGTTTCATGTTGTTCATTGAAAAATGAATAGTGAAGATAAAATATTTAGAATTTCAGCTTACTTTCGGTTAACCATCAATTGTAGACGTTTAATTCTTCACACAGAAATTTGCTGAGAGAATTTTTTAATTTTTTTTTTAATTTTTTATTTTTGTCATTTTAGAAATACACAACACTTTATCAAGGAATCGAGTTCTATTTTCATATGGTGAAAATATTGTAACATATAGAATAAAAAAGAATATTTTATTTTTGACATAGCAAAATGTGAAAAAAATCATTCCCATCAATGAAGTTAGGACTTAAATTTTCCTCCTGTTTGCCTGTTTTCCTTTGAATAGCAAATGGATTTTCCCACAACAAGACGAAAAAAATGTACCCTTAAGTTTTAAAAATCAATTAAATAAAAAGCATATATACTTGATTTTAAAGATATGGGTACTTGAATTTTCTTGTCATTTTCTTCCTTTCTTTCTACCACTTGCTGTATAACTCGTATCAATACTATCAGATTCTATTTATATTTTGAAAAAAAAATATATATGCAAATGCCAAAAAATGCTTTATTTACTATCGAGGCTTACAAAAATGCAATTTTATTACATATACGTACAGTTCTGTTTTCAAGGACATGTTGCCATGAAACAATGTACAAGGAAAAAGAAAGTAAATGTGACTTATTATAGTGAAATGTAGTGTTTATTATAACGTTAAACAAATATTCGGTCTGTCAGATCTATACAAAACGCTTAACAAAAAGCACTTTTGCTATAACGAATACCATCGTCTAAAGCCATGGTCCGGAGTCCGCATACAGCTCTCTCCTACCCGTAGCTGTTTGATCACAAAACGTGTCTTGTAATCTTGAATATTTACGCCTTAAAATTGTGACGTCATGTTCAGCCAATGACAATATTTGTTTCCATCGCAATTGAAATAAACAATTGACATCAACAGTATACAAGAAATGTTTCGTATACTGCGATTGGGTATCGAAAGATCGCGTCAAAGTTCATTATCCGACTATGCTTTACTTGCATTTGTCAATATTTTAATGAGCTACGAAATATCCTCTTCTCATTCAACCACGGCCAGAATGGGACAGGATCGTACATTTTGGCGGGGGTTTGCGACAATGAACTAATACAATTTTCAATTTTTTGTCTATATGAAGTAATTATTATGAAGGCTGGATGTTTATGCAAGTATTTAACAGTTTGTCAAGGAAAACTTGATGAAAAAATCTAATCAATTTTTTTTAAGAGTTCGGGCAACGTATTAGCGTACGACTGACATAAGAAGAGCATTATTGTTACCCTCATTCTTTATCAATTACGACGGAGATGGTATTTTTCTCATTTTTATCATTTTCTGATTGACTAATATAATTTATGAAATCTTTATAAAAGTGAAAAATGTGCTTAAATACATGAATATATTAACAATTGGTGTGTTGTTGCATATTAAAAAGGACTCTACCTCGGCATCTCGTCAAAATCCGAGAAAGTAAAATTTTCCGATTGAATTTTAAAACATTGTGTTGTCTACGGAATAGAATGTTACCCTTATGTGCTTCTTTACGTTGGTCAAACCAAGGGTTCACTTAATAAAGGAATATCGGGACTTAAATTTCAAATTCAAAACAGAGACCGACAGCTTCTCTACAAGCACTTAAATTAACCTGATCATTCTATTTTGACAATGAAATTTAGAATTCTAGAAAAGATTTACCATCATACTAAAAGCCGATCATTGAGTACACCTTTCCGTAGACAACAAGAAGAATATTGGATTAGAAAACTAGGCAAAGCCTTTCCATAAGGTAGCAATGACAATGTCGATAACGTTGGGAATCTTTCAAGTCTACATTGTAGAAATGTGAATGTGATGGGACTTTTTAAGAATATACAGAGATTTAAGAGTAGCCATGGACATCGTTCTAACAATAAACCTATTATACACGATATTTCTTTTGATTCATTACTACCTCATGTAAATAAACAGTTATGTCTTGAACACCTTCTCAACAAACTTAACTCTGTCCCTTCAAAAGTTCTTAATTTATTTTTTTAAAAGGTCAAAGAAAGTCAATATTTGAATTTTTCGACACCAGAATACAGGTTTGGATCTATGATTATGGATATGCAGGTCATAGGCTTTTCAAACCGCCAAGCTAAGACGTTGAAAAATATTTGTACGTTTATATTAAAAATATTTAATTTACCATGTCTTACATTATTTTTTCCATCATTGCTAGTAATTATTACATGTATTAATTATTAATATTTAGGGATGTCAATTTTATTCAGTTTATTCGAATAGTTGAAGGGTTTAGTCGAACGATAGTCGAGTACTCGAAATTAAATTAATTTTTCATGTCATTTTCACTATTTGTCTTTTACAAATTGCTTGTACACTATTTAATATATGCTATCACCATTGTTCAACGAATTTGTGAATAATAAATACTTTCTGAGTAATCCATATATGTATTCAATGTACTTGATTTCAAATATGATATTTACTGCACATTAATCTAAATAAAGGATATCAAACGCTCGCATTTGTTCTTTCTTTTCATAACGCAAGTACATGTACCCGTTAATTGAAGCCATTTGAAAGTGTCTTGTGCCCTTTGACTGGTAAACAGTTATTAAAGCGTCCCACTTATTAAAACAGAGAGAGAGAGAGAGAGAGAGAGAGAGAGAGAGAGAGAGAGAGAGAGAAAGAGCTTGCGATAAATTTTAATTATGAGATTTTGTGCAAAAAATCAAAACAATCTTGAAATTACTGCATGATATTGATATCAGAAAGAAACGACCATTTAATTACGCTCATAACTCTCCCCCAGTTTAAATGCATTTACAATTATGTAACAGCTGTTTAATTGTTCTTCATGAATAGTTGCGTTAAGCGAGATCTTATGGAATTGCAGGTTGAATTATTCTTCATGAATAGTTGCGCTAAGCGAGATCTTATGGAATTGCAGGTTGAATTATTCTTCATGAATAGTTGCGTTAAGCGAGATCTTATGGAATTGCAGGTTGAAGCTTTATTATATGGATCTTTATTATTTGGATCTATAGTACCAAATCATTCTTGTGAGCTCTCTCCATTTATAGCAATAAGAGGTAGACAATTCTTGATGATCAAGTTTGTGATAGCAACATTTTTTCTGGCTCCGCACTTTGACATTTTTGCGAAGAATTTACTGGGAAAGTTTCACTTGAATATATCGCTACGTTTGACGGATTCAGCATATTCACATGTAATATGATACATCATATTTGATGTTCCACTACAGAATGCAAGTTCATTTTCACATAACTTTTGATTTAGACCGTAGATTTTGGAGGCATGTTTGCCGATCATAAATTGACATGCAAATAATTTACTTTGAACAGTTTAACCTCCCCCTGAGTTTACTAACGAGAACATTGATCTGTTAATAAATGAATTAGGAGAATCTAAGTTTATTACCTTTAATTTAAAATTGCTACTAGGTAGGAAATATTTAACGAATAATCCAGTAAATAAATCTTAGTCGATAGTCGATATGATCGAACGATAGTCGAGGAATCGAATATTTGTTGACATCCCTATTAATATTATTTTTCAAATTATTTTGTTTCTTTTCCTAGATCCGCACATGTAATAGTGTAGATATTAAGAGGGGAATATAGGGGCAAGGAGTAAGCCAAGCACTCCATTTATTTCGCTATTATTTCTGTGTGGAGCGCCAACTTATCATAAGATTCCCTTATTGAAGGTATCTTTAATTACTTGATGATATAAATAATTCCTTAAATAAATTAATTGATGCTTGCATCAAATCAGTTATTACTCTCGTCCATTGAATTAATACGCGCACAATTGATAAGACCAATAATTTTTACGATGCGCGTATCATTGCTCTCATCAATTCAATTTATGTGTGCATTGGAAGCGCGCATCAAATTTCTAACACAGACACTTAAACTTGTACTTTTCTTATCATATAAACAATTTAGCCTCTCTATCAACAGCAAAACAAGTGAAGGCATTTTCCTTGGCGTAAATCGCTTATAATTAAGGGATTATATTTTTTGTGAGGATAAAAATATATCATTTATTAATTGTATGTTGCTGAACGTCCCAATCGAGAATTGTTCAATCATATAGAGACGTCACCATATACCGGTGAAGGGCTTCGAACGATAGCATTGTTCTCCCGCCTACCTCCAAGTCAATTTTAAAAGTTAACATATTTGAAGAATTTTTCATATTTTATAGATATTTATATGAATTTTCAGAAAACATCACTTATTTGGGAAAAGAAAGAGAGATAACTCTGAAGGTTTGGTAAAACTTGTGTTTTTCTCTATAGAAACGGAAAACTGAAAATGTTTTTTAAACATCCCCCCCGTGAAACAAAAATTTCTTTTTACAGGTCATATGGATTGTTATTTCACAAATTCATACTAAAGCTTTCTGTGTTTCACGGGGGAGGGGGAGGGCATATGTTTACTGACCAAAATAAAAAAAAAACCGACAAAAATGCTCAATTCTTCACAAATTATGTTTAATTTTATCTGCGTAAAACAAAAAAAAAATTTAAGGAACATTTTTCCATATCCAAGAATATTTAAAAATATGCTGAGGCTTTCAAGCACGATTTCAATGGAAAACATCGTCTACCCCCCTTATAAAAAGAGTTGGAATTAGTAGTAATTAATTATTTAACACTGGTATTAAAATTATTAATCAATTACCATTGAACTCCTCTTTTCATTCAACAAAGATTTTTTGACCAAATTGCCATTAGGATTGAATTTAATGGATGTAATACATAGGCGGGAATCGAGAGTTAGCGTGTGTAGTTCTTTAGACCTTTACTCGGCACTCAGGGCCATTGAGCAGTGAGGGATCTTTATCGTACCATCGCCTACCGTGACACGGGGCCTCGGTTTTTAAGGTCTCATCCGAAGGACCCGCAAAGAGCTAGGTTTTCTTTATCCATAAAATGGCCATAAAATTTCCTCGATAGATAAGTAGCTACATTATTTGCAGCACTCCAGGCATCTTCTAAGGCTTGTCTGGTTGCTTTATATCCCGCCCTGTCCTTATATCAATTAATTGATTATCACCCTCCGTCTCATTTCAAATATCAAAATAAAGTAGAGACTTAGTGCTTTCAATTCCTATTAACATTTTTTTGAGAATCCAGGTATAGGAAAACAGGCTTTGAGAAAATGCAGTGTTCTTGAATTTTGCAGAAAACATGCGTATTTGACTACCTGCAGCAAAGAATTAAAATATGAGCACAGCCCACGATCCAAAAATTAAAACATGTTTTGTGATCTTCAGAAACAGATCTTTCATTATTTAATTGCATATTTTGGATCGGAGGTTGTGCTCTATATGAAATATTGAAAAAATACCTCAACTTTTGGCCATTTCTGAGGGAATTTATAGGAAATGGGGAAAATGACGCATTTTATGACGTCATAATGCATTAACTAGAGAGAAAATTACGTCATGTTCAATAGATACACAATCACCAAGGGCCCAAGTAATAAATACTGCATTTTCAACCAAAACTGAGCAGTTTCGATTTTACAGAAATTCTCAGGGCCATAACTCCCCTAAGTGGCTCTTGCTCTTTAACTTCAAAGTGCCGAGCGCTTGGCGAAAGAACAGTTGCTACTTATCTTTTATCCACTTATGTCAGTCGCGGTCGAGATTCGAACTCACAGGCTCCCGATCACGGAGCAAGCGCTCTACCGACTGAGCTACCGTGACGGTGAGAAAAATATACGAGGGAAAAAGACTCTTCAGAAAATAATAATAATAATGGACAAAAAACATACCTTATGTGTGTATCTTTGATAATGCATTTTAAATTATATCAGTCCAGATATATCTGTGTGGCAGTATTTAAAAATTACAACAAAATATTTCTACATGTAGTTTACAGTTAATTTACAAGACTTATAAGCAGAGTTAATGTAATTTAGAACACCAAAAAGTAATCTACAATTACAGACAAGTAGTATCGGGGGGGGGGGGGGCGCATTGCCCCAAATTTTTTAAACATAACGTTTTACTCTTTATTTAGAATGAAAATGTTTATTTAAAGGCCGGTTGTCCCCATTTTTTTTTCATGATTTTTGATGGTCAAAGTTTTCCAGACATTTATTTTTAAATCTTTGCTTTTCAGTCAATTTTTGTCCAACCCCACCTCCCACTTCGAAAATGGATACTAGGTGCCTGTCCAAATCAAATTTAAAGGAATGCAATGATTAACACAAAGGGAAAACTGTCTCTTTTAGCAGAACAGTGTCCTCAGCGTCCAAGTGGCCCCGAAGCGTGGCATCTTCTTAAAATCCGAATTTGTAGAGTTTGAAAAAATAAAGCATTATATATTAAAGAAATATAAAGATTATAAATATATACATTTGACTCTTCAGAAATTGAATAAAATTCCAAGCATCTAGAATAAATGATACAAAATCATATCAGATGAAATGGTTCAGGAAATCAATAAAATGTAAATAATGTATGTATAAATTTGAGAATAAATGTCTTCTTAGTTGTTATTTGTGACCATTAATTCTGATTTAACGGTGCAAACTGAGTGTTTCTGGCATATATATAGATGCATTTTCCCGTTTTTTCTTCCATTCATGACAGAGAGCACACGGCGGATGTAACTGGTCGCCAGGGGATGCTCACTCCTCCATGGCACCTGATCCTATCTCTAAAGTTTGAGGTCCGTGTTTGCTCTGCTCCAAATTTGTATTGTTTCATTTGACTTTCGAGATTGAATACTGTTCGTCATCTTCATATTTCATGTTTCATGTTTACAGGGCTCTAATTGGCTCCTAATTTAGTCTCCATGGTGCCTAAAATTATGATTGGCGCGTAAAAGATTTCTATAAGTCACGTAATTGGTGACCATTTTAAATTGACTTGGTGATCGTCAAATTCCTGAACTATAAAAGTTATCATTTCTTTACAAAGAGCAGAAAAGATGTTTGAAAGTTAGCAAGGACATGTCTCTATATATTGACTAATATCAGTTTTTAAATTGGTGCTTAAGAAAAAAAAATTACTTGGTGACTAAAATTTTGCATTTGTGACTTAATTTTAGAGGTCAAATAGAGGCCTGGTATAGATAAGTTACGCATAAATACTGTGTGATGTTTACTTAGTGACGTCTGATCATAATCCTCGCCCCTCAATGATGTACCGTACTGAAATGGAAGACATTTACCTAGTGACGTCTGATCATCATCATCAAACTCCTTGCTGATGTCCCGTACTGAAATGGAGGATATTTACCTAATAAAGTTTGAACATCACCATCGTCTTCCTCACTGATGTCCCAAACTGAATAATTGGAGTCCAAGGCTCACGCCAGTATTCTGGAGACCAGCGACCGTTAAGGAAGGCATCGTGACAGTTGTTAAACCACTATCCTCCCCCTCCAGCGTAATGAACAGCACAATTATATCCAGCCCTGTCGTTATCGTTGTCCGGTGTACTAAAGTACATCCCTGACAGATCTTTGAATGAAG